ACAGAGTATCATTACTTGTTTAAGGAATTCAAGTGACAAGGATTTTTCTTTCCAGAGTGAATAATATTTTTCTGACTTGCAGTTTCTATTTTATTGTGAATTTCTCAAGAAATTTGATAAACAGAGTAGTTTTTAGATAACTCATACAAAGAAAATTAAGTATTCTACGTAATCAAGGAAGAGGGAAATGTATAAAAAATGTCGAGCCCTCTATTTTCATGATTTTTAGCTCAACTGGTCAGAGACCAGAAGAGCTTATGCGATAGTAAGGTGTCTGTCATCCGTCCATCTGTCTGTCCATGCGTCTGTAAACAATTTTTCAAAATGCTACTCCTCCTACAGTTTTGGTCTGATTTCAATATAACTTGGTACATAAGTAGACTACACCAAGATACATAATTCTGTGTATTGGTTTTTAATTTCAATGAACGGTGTTGCCATGGTTACTAAAAATAGAGATTTTTGGGAAATACATTGAAAATGCTACTCCTCCTACAGTTTTGATCTGATATCAGTATAATTTAGCACACAAGTAGACTATACTAAGATACATAATTCTATATATCGGTTTTTGATTTCAATGAACGGTGTTGCCATGGTTACTAAAAAAAGAATTTTCTGTGAAAAACTTTCAAAACGCTACTCCTCCTACAGTTTTGATCTGAATTCAATATAATTGGTACTCAAGTAGACTATACTAAGATACATAATTCTTTATATTGGTTTTTGATTTCAATGAACGGTGTTGCCATGGTTACTAAAAATAGAAATTTCTGTGAAATACCTTCAAAATGCTCCTCCTCCTACAGTTTTGGTCTGATTTTAGTATAATTTAGCACACAAGTAGACTACACTAAGATACATAATTCTCTCTACCAGTTTTGGATTTCGATGAATAGTGTTGCCATGGTTACTAAAAATAGAAATTTTCTTGAAATACTTTCAAAATGCTACTCCTCCTACACTTTTCGTCTGATTTCAGTACAACGTGGCATACAAGTAGATTAGACTGAGATACATAATTGATGTTATTGTTTTTTGATTTTGTTGAATGATGTTGCCATTTTTACTTAAATCAAAATTTCTGTAAAATTGTTTTAAAAGGCTACTCCTCCTACAATTTTAGTCTGATTGCAATAAATATAGCCATAAAAAGAGACTAAACCAAGGATCATTATTGTATTTATATACATTGTATATATATAGCTTATATCTTTCCTTTATAAGTACAACCAGTAGAGCTACAATCTCGTCAGAGACTTCTGGTTTAAAATGAATTTTTTTAAATATAAAAAATTTAAATTATTTATATGAATTTCTTCTGAATAGTGTTTAATAATTTATCTTTGCTGCAGTATCTTTTCACTGTTTTCACAGAATGATAAATGTGGAAAATATAATGGTACAGTGGAAATAAGATGACTAGTAAGCAATTGAAGAAATGGACAAAGAAAAAGTAGAATTGAATCTAGTTCAAATCTGATTTCAAAATCAAAATATTTAAATAACATTAAAGAAATTAAAAGCAGTTTGCAATTATATATTTAGCTTATTGGGTTCAACATAAAGTCTTTCATTTATCAATGTCAACATAGTGAAATCTAGAATTCATTTACTTTTAAAACCTTGTGATCTTTTTTTTTTTCATTTTTCAAAAAATGTAGGCATTCAGATTGAAAAGTAATTTTCTGAAGATTTGCTTGTATTTAGTTTCTGGTGCTCCAGTAACATTTAGATTACATTTGAAGATTATTCTGTGCATTTAATAACATCAAACATCTTATTTCTTTAGACTATGATAATTTCTATTGATGAGGCTTAGCTTATATATCACAAGTCATCAAACACTGCACTTAAATGCACAGTAAGCAGAACTGAAAAAGTTCTGACAACACCCAGTTGAATATATAAATTCTTATCCAATTTTTATATACCATTGATAATTTTCATCTGCAACTTTAGATAATAAGTGCACTTATTACAAAGATCAGCTCTAAATACTTCTGCACCAATTTCCTTATCTCACAAAATTACAAGAAAATATCTCCTTGATGCTGCAGCAATGAAAAGAAAACAAAACAAGTTTCTCAGCAGGAAACTGTAAAAAATTGAAATCTAGAGTGTCAAAAGCAATTCAAGAATGTCTTGACTTAACAATGGTTAATCTGTGTGATAACAGTGAAAGTCTGACAGCTTCACAGCCTGTTATCTCATTGATGTATCTCTCAGATAAAAGGGTTCCTCCTAATCCAGCAGCCAGATAATATTCCTCCCTGTGAACACTATGATCCACCATCCTGGGAGCTGGATCAGATAAAACAGGAGTCAGTTCCTGGGGGTTCTAGCCAATCAGTGTTATCGGTTTACATACTCTGTTAGGTCATTACTGATTGAATTGGGATAAGGAATCTCTGTAATTGAGTTCCACATTCCAGTCATGTATCACCCCTAATCATGGACGTGTGTTATTTGGTGTAAAAGTCAATTTAAAGTATGTTTATTGTCAATTATTTAGGTAAAGCTGTTTTCAAAGAGTTTTCTGCTGTGGGTGTAAGATAAAACAATATATTTTGTGTGTATTTCATTACTTTGTTAAAGGGTATCTTGTAGATTTGTTATAAATAAGAAAAAATATAAAGACATCTACAGGAATTTTACAGTTTTGAAAATAAAATAAAAATGATATTTGATAGTTTCTAAATGTACTCCATGGTTTGAAATGGATCAATCATGAGGCAGAAGAACCTGACTTCTATAGTTCTCTTGTTTTGCTGTAGGATGGTGACACTTGGTACCCGGACCCCTGTTCTATCTGTAGTTGTAAGGAGGGACACATCACATGTTACCATAAGCCCTGTCCTGTCTGTCCCCAGGGTCAGATGTCGCTCATTCACTCGGGAGAGTGCTGTGGTACCTGTAAACCATGTAAGGAAATATAGCATACCTTAAATCATATTAACGGCAATTCTTTGATATAATGATCGTCAAGAAAATTTGTTTTAGAGAGCATTTAAAATGATATTTGAATGAACAATCAAAATCTGATTTTTACATCAAAGTAATTTAGAGTATATAAATGATTGAGTCCTATTCTGGTGTCCTACAGTGCAGTGTAGTGAGGCCTGCTCTGTTTGTCGTCCTGATGATCCAGACTTCTGCCTGGTCTGTAAACAGCCCGGACTTTATCTTCAGGACGGAACATGTGTGACCAGCTGCCAGGAAAACTTTTATGTCACCAGGAATAGAAAATGTGGAGGTACCCTTCATTTCTTACTAGCTGATGTCTTACATACATTACAAGAGTGATAATAAACTATGGTAGTTTTGTCATACATTTTTTTTTTAATTTTCAATTAAAGTGGCAAATGTTACAGAAAGATCATCATGTTTTCTCGAAATTTTTGTAGGGAAAGTAAGCAATTCTATGATGGATAACATTTTAGATCATCCATCAATGTCAGTGTTCAGCTTTTCATCTCTTACATAACACATCTGAAATTCGAAAATGTTTTTCAAAGAATGGAAGGAAATCTGTGGTAGTTTGGAATTTTTCAGACACCTGATATTAAAGTGAAACAAGATTAAACATTCCAAAGCCATCTTCTGCTAGGATAACAACAGTCATTTAATACAGATAAAAGTAAAATTTGTACAAATTAACTTTGTTGGCTACTGTTCAACAGGTTGGGTTGCATGTTGTGATTTTATTTATCATTGTTAATTTTTTTTATGTAAAAATGTAAGAACTAGAGGAAGAATGATTTAGCACTTGTTAAAGTGCAAGTAAGTTTAAGGATAAATCGTGACATGTTGAAGATTATTTTTTTTTATTTTAACTTCTAATGTTGCACTACAAACAGTAATTTTGAAAGATGTAGTGTGAATCTTATTGTCATTTCTATTATTTGATATCTGTGCAATTCATATACCTTTATAAATGGGATCATGTGAGACTCTTCTATAGTAGGATACAGGTGAAAAAGTAATGCAGATTGAATTTCTTTATTTGATTCTTCTCTGTTGCATTAGAATGTCAGTCCAAAAAACTTGTACATTATTATTTTTTTTTGTTGTGAATTAGATTACTTGTATATTTTTTTCCTTTTGTTGACTATGCCTACATATTTAATATATACATGTATTTAAGGAAGACAGGCATGTTTTTATGGTGTGTAAGATTTTTGCCCAGTTCAATTCAGACATTCGTATCATTGAAAATTGAGAGAATGGATAAAAGAAAAACTAATTGTTATAGTAAAGGGTCAAATTATCTTCTATTGAAGATAATTGAAGCATTAAAAATGGGTGGGGATGATGTGAAAATCTTCTTTTTAATAACTTTGGAGCCAGAAAAGACAACACAATCTGGATACAATGTAGATTTAAATTTGTAGCTTATTGGGCAAGAATGGGGTGACAATAAGGAGGTAATGGGTATTGGAGGGGGGGGGGGGCAAATTTTTATTGGAATTACATGAAAAACAATCAAGGACAACATTTGATCAAATTATTGTGTTAGCACCACTATGTAAACCACACTTGTTTGGTCATATCATTAACCACTGAGTTGCCCGCGTGGCGCAGTGGTTAGAGATGTTAGAAATTATGGAAAATACCCTTAGCTTGTGACACCATAGGATTTAGTCATTTAAATCTTATTGATCATTACTAAGTTAAATACCTGTCATTTTTTTTAAGCATAAAAATTAAAATTGATTTTTAAAATCATTACAGGGGCATATTTATCCCAATATGCTGCATAGTTCTTTAATGATTATTTTGTCTTTTTTGTGAGTCAGTTTAATGAACTTGAGTTATCGTTGTCTTTCAGAGTGCCATGAGATGTGTGCCAGCTGTACAGGGGCCACTCAACATCACTGTGTCAAATGTAAGCCTGGTCTTTTATGGAGGGATGGACAATGTGTACCTAGGTGTGGATCTAACTTCTACCAAAATGGAGGGCAGTGCCTGGGTATGTGATCTACAATAGTATATTCAAAAATGATATGTTCAGAATGTAAACCTGTTTTTGAATTATCAATCTGCACTAAAATGGTGCAGACTTTGGTAAATTTGAAATGCATCAAACTGCAAACACAGTAGGTAATTGCATATACAGTGTACTGTAGCATAGAGTTTCTAATATGCAGTACATTGTATATGAGTATGTATAATCATGTCCATTTATCATGTTTTGAATTTTGAATTTGAGTTATTTCCAGATAAAATGGTAAGAAGGTTCTTAAATATAGGTTTTCTTAAGGATTACGGACCTAATTCGAAATTTCGTGCCACTGCGCAGAAAACCATGCATACGCCTTGAATAAAATTAACTTAATTATGTATTGCAAAAGATAAAAATATACATTTTTTATTCTTTTAAAGATATTTAGATGTTTCCTCTCAATTCAAAAATATTGTAAATATTTCGATTTATATTCATTTGTTAATTTTATAATAACGATTTATTTGGCCAAGGTATTTTCATTGAAAATTTTCCTCAAAATGTGCCCTACACCTGAGTTTGACATGCCCTCCTGTAAAATCTAAGCCGAAGACCCATTTATTTTTTGGCATAATTTGCTGGTAAATTGTCTAGTTTACATTGTCTTTTAGTATGAATAAAAACTCTATTGCAGAATTTTTTTCAATGATCACTCTTATACCCTACACTGGCAATTTCCCATTACTTCCTATAGTAATTATTGATTTCCATCGCCAACTTTTGAAACGATCCCCATTAAAAATCTACATTGATGACCATATGATTTTTAAATGATTTTAACTCATCAAAAGTCACTTTACTACATATTAAAATTTGAATAAAATATCTATTGCAGAAATGAATTAGGTCAGTCGTCGTTAAATACCTACATGTATGTTTAGTTAAATGGTAAAAATATTTCTTCACTTTCTTTGCATATTGTTGAATACTGTGAAGTATCTACAACAGTTTTTGTGCAGCATTGAACAAAAAATCTTGCATTCATGTGAATTCATAAAACAGAGTCATCTTGGTACCTTGACACTCCATAGTGGACAGAAATGTCCTGTTCAAATTTATTTCTGGTTTATCATGTTTATGTATTTATTTTTTTCAGCCTGCCATTCTTCTTGTCGGGAATGCCTTGGTCCTAACAAAGACAATTGTTTGTCGTGTACAATATCTGTTCAAGTCCTCCTGTCAGGAAGATGTGTCAACGACTGTGGACCACAGTTCTATGTAAAGGATGGAAAGTGCACCAGTTAGTTTTTCAATGACAAATTTTAGTAGTCTTTATAGAGTACTGGTATACCTTAAGGCCAAATAAGTAAACAGTTATTTGTATTTCAAAGATTTTATCCTAAATAAAAAAACCACACATGACTACATTTGTTTTCTAATAGGGATGTCAACGAATATTCGAACATTCGAATATTCATTTGATGAGTTGATATTCAAATATAAATTTAAGATTCGAATATTTGGTGTTTTACAGATTTCGTAAAAAGAAATAGTGATTAATAAATTTTGATTAAATGAAAACCCTCTTAGAATGTCTAAAAGACGTGAAGAGTATACTTATCAAAATAAATTTAATTGATCATTGAATGAGTGTCTGATAGAATTAGTCTGTAATTGATATTGTAAAGGGCTCAATTTCAGAATAAATGTGTAAATTACTTGATTATCTTGGGTTGTACATAATCCTGAATTTTATATTCATTATTGGTAAATTAATTAATTACCTAGGAAAATTGTCTATGGAAATATTTGTTTATATTTTAAAAATATTTTATCCAAGATTTTAATCATAATTAATTACACGTATTGAAATCTAAAAAGTATACGACTATCCTGCCTTTGGTAAGACGATTGGTTCCTCGGAGCTATTATTAATTTATTAAATTATTAAATTTGTTAAAATCATATTTTTCTACATTTAAATCAATTATTTATTTCAAACACTGACAAATATCAAATGGAATTTCTTATTGTACATCTACAAAAGCCTTCACACAATTTTACTCCAATATTAGAATACGTACGCTAAACCTTCCATGAGAGTAGGATCATGCATATTTAAAATAAACCAGATTTTATTTATTTTATTGAATATTCAAATATATTCGAATACTTTCATTGAATATTCGAATATGAATTATTGACAAAATTGATATCCCTATTTTCTAAGTTAGCAAAATGATACTTTTTCTTGTTTGCAGGTTGCCAGCCTACTTGTTCTAGTTGTTCTAGTGATGGGAGGTTCTGTACTAACTGTACGCAGTCCCTCGTCTTACACAAGGGTCAGTGTGTCACCAGTTGTCCTTGGGGGTACTTCATCTCCCCCCAGGGGGTGTGTACAGGTGAGTGCTGTAAGAGTCACCCAGGCACAAGGGTCAGAGGATTAGGAAATGTACAAATACATAGGGGTGTAATGATATGGCCAATTTGAAAGCATATAAAGAGGATATTCAATGTTTTGTAGTTGGATATGGAATTTATTTCACGAGTGGGACAGGATTTTTTTTATATTTTCATGAGTGTGAAGCACGAGCGAAAATATATAAAAAAAAATCCGGTCTCACAAGTGAAATAAATTCCATAACCAACTACAAAACAAAGAATTTTCTGTTTATTACATTTTCTTTGATTTTTCCTTTTGTAGGGCTGAAATGATACACCCCCTCCACGATACAGTACGTATCACGATACTTGTGTCACAATCAATACGATACATTTTAAAAAAGAAACAAATCATAAGGTTAAAGAAAACATGTATTCAGATTTCAAAAGGTAAGTAAAAGGTGTTGATACAATATAGAGCACTACTTGTGCTTCTGTAGATTAAAAGAGCACTTTGTTCATGTCAATACTAGCGGTGGCAGCCTGCTCTGAAACTCTCTCCATCGCAAATTTCTCCCTCGTGTGTTTAAAACTTTTAAAATGAGGTCGAACCCGATCTATTTCAAGGAGTAACCAAACCCGATTATATAAAAAACGTACCGAACCGAAAATCGAGATAGTAAATCGAACATTGAACAGAACAGTAATATTGAACAATATGGATATTTCGGTGAATCGTTTCAGCCTTATCCTTTTGCCTCTGTCTTTTCATAACACAGTGTCTTAGGCTGTGACGTCGTAGCCTAGCCATTGTGAGATTGAAAACATTGTAACATGGATTTTAGCAACATGTTTGGAAAGAAATTGGCAGTTTTAGTCTCTATCAAGACGGTTTAGCTACTATCTCTATCTTATGACAGGCCAGAAATTAATAATAATTTTTTACTTACTTACTCATACTATGAGAGAATATCACTTTAGTATCTTTTCACACTGTGAGAGAATATCGCTTTTATTCAATAAATAAATCACAGTATTTCACTGTTGAAAATTTAATAATGTGGAATATCATGATACATTGGGCCATCATTAAAAATATCTTTGTTTCCCCTAACCCGACCCAAAAATCTCAAGTTGGGTCGGTAGGTAGGTAAATTATTTTTTTTTTCTGACAGCAGGTTTGGGAATACATTCTGAAAAATTGAATAATATCTTTATAAATAAGAAAGAACAAAAGAAACCAATTTTAAACCTAATATCATACAAATGAAGCAACATGTATGGTAAATTAATTCACAATTGACAAATATTATTCATTTGAACTTGTAAAATATCTCAGGCCAGCGTAAATTTATTGAAATCGAATATTTACAAAAAACACAAGATTCGCAAATACTGAACCATCGGACATTCGAGTAAGCCTACATTTTTCAAACCTACTATCATCTTCGGGTACTTACACAGACAAAATGTCAAGGGCCTCGCGTGGCACAGTAATTCTAGTGTTTTGTTTTGGAGTCACGACGTAATTCGGGAGCTAATTCTAAGTCACAGGTCCCGACGTGGGACTTGCAGACCGGTCAGTCGAATAAGACCATAAAAAAACGTAGGTCCAGTGTCTGAGTATACATGTAGATGGCACATAAAAAATCCCTTACTGATGCTTAATGATCAAAGGCCATAAGTGCTAAGTAAAAGTCTAAATTAGGAGCCTTCCATCGGCCCAACAAATTTTAAAGGTATTTTAAAGCAAAGAAACAACCTGTTTTCAAGGGCCTAACTAAAGCAAAATAAACTGGTTGTCTCAGGAAGCCGTACCATAAGCAAATTTTAAAGATTTCAACACTATTTGGAAATAGTGTACATGTACATGTATAAACAATATATAATTCAACCAAACCATATCTAAAATGATTAAAGTTTCATATATCTAATTTTATAGTCACGCGGAGTCAATACCCCATAAATAAAAGGAATAAAGAAACGACATCTGGATTATATTTATCAAATGAAATAATCATACAAAGACATATTTACAACTCCTATGGTCCTACGTAGTAAAAATAGGATCTTACATGAACTGTTTATTAGATCGAAACGAATCAAATGCAGTGAAATTTATTGATATGTATTCACAAGGAGCGCCCCTCATCTACTCATGAGCCAGGCTTTGCTATGCTTACTACGTACGTTAATTTTTTAAATACCATCTTAACACTCCTTAGTCATGGTACATTAATTCAAGAGATGTCTCAAGAGTGTAGGATTCTAATAAGTTAAAGATATAATAAGATTGATATGTCACGAACTAACCCTCTGTGGCCACATGTTGTCAGCACTAAATGAGAGTAAAACAAAAGCTGCCGTTCTGATAAAAAACGGATTTTGATGAAATTGTATTATATAAATTTGATAAACAATAAAAAAAAATATATTTAAATAATCTTATTAAAAAAACTTTTCAGTCGGCACGATTTAAGTGGGTCGGTCGCGTTAGGGGAAACAAAGGTATTTTTTATTTTGGCCTTGGGATGTAATATTTCACCTTTCATAATTTCATTGTAATATCTATATTTATGAGTTTCTGTTCTGAAATGAGAAATTCTATTATATCATATTTTGTGAAAGGATAAAAATTGCAGATTATTTCTTCAGTTCATTATGAAACATTTAACTTAAGTTCTGAACACAATAAAAACAGCATAATTAAAGAAAATCACTTTTATTAGATTCAACTAAAAAGAAATTGCATAAGTCACATAAATTGTAATTTATTGTGATGCACAGGTATACAGTTTTTATACTATGGTATGGTACAGTTTTTTTTTTATATTGTGATATACCAGTATATCATTACACCCTTACAAATACATAAGTTGTATGGATTCTGATTGTTAACTTGGTTATTGGAGAGTGATACGAGAAACCAAACTGATTTGAGATTGCTAGAACTTAAATGATTCTCTAAAAATAATGAAGATATTGCTTGGTTTACATAGCTCTGATTTCAAAGGATTTTAAGTCAACAGTGGGCATTCAAAATATTTGTTGAACTTCAAATATTCACCTTCAAACATTTTTAAGATGAATTACTTTATAAGTCTTCAGAAATACCTTTTATCTTCCTGAATATATTACAGAGAGACCTGCTCAGTATGCATGCAATGAGTATCATTTTCTGAGTCATTAAACAAATTTAAAAGTCACCTTCCAACATTGTATCATTTTTCTGATAAAGTTAATTGCTGAGGTGTCCTCTAAGTGTGAAAAAGCAATTTCCTTTATTCTGTAATATTTATAATATGATTTCACATCTGATGCTTATCACTTAAGGTCATAAAAAGGAAGCCAAGTTAGATGATAATGGCTTTTTAAGATATTTGATGAATGTATTGCTGGCTTTTGATGAGGCCTGTCTTTTTCACAGCATGTCACCCGAGCTGTAAAAAATGTAGTGGGCCCCACGAAGAGGATTGTCTGACTTGCTTGGACGGTTCTCCTCCCAGGAAAGGAGGTCACTGCCCAGGAAACTGTGTCAACGGGGAATACAGGGACACCAATGGAAATTGTAAAAGTAGGATTATTTGTCTAATTATTCAACATATTTATGTTCTTCCATTAAGAATTGGAGGATCATAACTTTTAGTCTGTCAACAAACCTTTGGCACTAAATTAAAAGTCTAACATTTGAAAATATCAAGCAGTGTGTTTGATAAAGGTTTGATAAGGTCAAGGCTTCATGTCATATCATGGTTTAATTCAACTGGAAGTGTTCAATACTGTGAACGTAGATAAATTAACACTTTGAAAATTTACTATAATCCTCCTCTTAAACTGATTAGCATAATAAATCAGTGGATTTGGGAAAAAGCTTATATATGTATTTGTTATAATAACTGATTAGCATGTACTTGAATTAGCAGATAAGAAGCAGCACAAAATGAGCTAAAATACATGATTGCTGCTAGAATAAATACAGTTACAGTGATATGCTTTCAAACTTCTGTATGCCTGTTACTGAATGTTTTCTGACCTTGATTTAAGGTCAGTGGGTAATCAAATGCCTGCATAATGTCAGATGTTCTTTTCTGTGTCATACACACGCACACACACACACACACATCTATCTATCTATCTATCTATCTATCTATCTATCTATCTATATATCTATCTATCTATCTATCTATCTATCTATCTATCTATCTATCTATCTATCTATCTATCTATCTATATATATATTAGGGATGTCAAATCGGTCAATTTTTGATAATCGGTTACTCGGACGTTTTTCCGATCGAGTACCCGGGTACTCGGTAAAAATGTAAATACAAGTTTGTTTATTTTTAATATTGTTAATTTGTTAAACCCTAAAGCTGTTTTTATCACGTTTTATGAATGTACACAAACATGGAGTCCAACGGATATGATTTTTAGTACTAAGTTTATTTATTAAATAAACACAAATGACGCAATTAATACATCAAAAATTACAAATGGTTTACAGTTCTTGTTTAGGATCTTTTTCACCAAAGGAGGACAATCTGTTACTCAGGTTTGTGATGATTAGACAAGCGAAAGAGAAGGATAGGACGTTGTTTGGATCGCTAGTTTAATATTTTTTCATATGTTGGTTGTTTCCCCCGTATACACTTGACTTACTATGGAAACTGACTTAAAACATTTTTTAGAATCTTTACCAATTTTGAAGTGGGTAGCGGCATTTCTATGCATGTCCGATTTCGCTGCCGTATATTAACTAAATAATTCAAAAAAATGATTTGAAGATAATAGACCATATTATTAAACGATGTTCACTGAAAAACAATCATTGAAGCCATCAAAAAATTAAGGACCACAATAGGTGAGAACAGCTGTGCACCAGGTAATTGGTCACTAATTACTGTATATACACAGCCATAGGCGATAACGGGTGTTTACATGTGTAGATAACGACACGCTAATTATCTGTATGCATATTTAAGTTATTTCTTGATAAGTTTTTGATAAAAATATTTACTTTAAAATAAGAAAAAAATACACATCCGAGTAACCGAGTACCATTCTTAGTATTCGATACTTGGACGTTCGATCGAGTACCCGGTTAACCGGGTACTCGTTGACATCCCTAATATATATATATATATATATATATATATATATATATATATATATATATATATATATATATATATATATATATATATATATATATGATTTTTTCCCCCTGTTATTTTAATTTAAATGAACTTTTACATTATTAATACATTCTGATTTCACACAAAAGTGTTACAAAAAAGTATTTGATAATAAAAGATCCACTAATTTGGGGTTTTTTTTTCATTACATATATAGCAGTGTATATCAAAAGTTAATTTTCTCCCCAAAAGTAATACATAGGGATGAAATGCATGCATCATATAAATGCATGCATCATATAAAGATGTTGAAATGTGAAGGTTTATGTATTCATAGTTTCAAAAGAATCCTGATGGAAATTCTGTAATTTTATGCATGAAAGAGAATGATATACTGGTCTGTTATGAATGGGATAAAATTAAAGTTAAGGAATATGTATAGTGTTTTCTGTTTTTTAACGTTAAACAGTTCCTCTGTGTGAGGGACATCATACACTTTGTATTCAGCTTTGAAGTATAGAAAGCGGTACTTTGATAAATTTAGACTATGGAAATCAAGAAATGACACAACAAAGCCCTTAGATTTGGCATATTCTTTAATGTATGTTTTGAAGTTGATTGAAGTTAACAAGATAACATCAACTGGAACCTTTAGAGTTCTGTGTTCTTTGTGTGAACTGCCTGTCATCAGCACATAGAATACAAAGTTATGTCTTATATTAACAGAGCCATGTCTGTGTTAATGTGCACATGACCAAATACAACATTAAAAATCTTTTAAAGTCATTTCAAATGAACTCTGTATGAACATCTGTTAGATAACTATCTCCTGTGGCATAGTGCAAAAGAACATCTGATACAGGTACTTTGTAGAACACCTGATACACATACTTTGTAGGACAAGATAGCTGAAGGTTATCTGAGGCGAATATCAAATAGCCTAAAAAAAATCATGTCCTGCAGAATTCACTTCAAAAAAGACTGCCCTAGCTTGACAATACAAATTAGTTTGAAAGAGAGTACATGAAATACATGTAGTATTGTAACATTTCTTGTTCTCTATAAGTAGCACAAGACTATGTAATATATACTTGAATCTCTAGGGTTATTTTGGATTCTGTTTCAATAAAAAGGAAAAAAAAATATATCCTAAGAATATTTTGAGATGAAGGCATAAAATCTAAACAATCTCTAAGGTCTAGTATTGCTTTTCTGCTAAGACAAAAATGTGTGTCCCAACACACAGACTATAATAGTTGTAGCTAATAAATATATAATAAATAAATATATAATAAATAAATAAATGTATACATGGTGAAAATTAATACCCCTTTATATGATTCAGATTGTAAAAAAATTATATGGCAATTGAGGGATTTTTTGTGATGTCAAACAGTCATGCAGGGAAGTAAACTATACTTTCCGTAACTGACACAAATTACATTAAGAAAAACAAGGCTACTTTGCCCCTAAACAGTACATGTATGTTATTGTTTTCATTTGAAAATGAGTAAATGTCCAACAATTTTTTTGGACAATATTTGAATTTCTCATTACTAATCAAAAGGCAAAACCCTAAATGAAAAAATATTTTGTAGACATCTTTTATGAAGGGTTTGTAGGTACAGTCAAACCTCATTATCTTGAACTTGATGGTACTAAGTAGGGATGCGCGATTTTATCGGTATACCGGTATATCACAATTTTTTATTGCATGATATGTATCGTGATATGGAGACTAAAATAATGGTATTTAGTACATAACTTTATATTCCAGAAATTATTCATTTATTTGTTCAAACTATTGAAAGACAATTCAGGAAGTGTAAAAAATGTTGAAAACAGTTAAACAAAGGCATCCAAACATGCTTTATATTAAATAAATAAAAAATTAAAAAGTAAAGTTATGTTTCTATAGCATATTTTTAAGAAATATTATGAAAATTCATTTGAGATTGTAGTAAAAATTGGGTGTAAAAATATCATAATTTATCCTGATATTTTAGGAAAAAATCGTGATATATCATGATACGAAATTCTTGCCGATACCCAGCCCTAGTACTAAGATTAAACTTTGAGATATCTCTTTGAGATATCTCAGGATTGGAGATGATGAGGTTAAAAATATAGATAAAATATAGGTTAGGACTGCCAAATCACTTTGTCATATCCCTGGTATTCAAGATATTGGTGTTTGAGATAACGAAGTTCAACTGTGGTTGGTTGTATTTCATGTATGTTCCAAGAACGTGAGGCAAAAGCATGGGGACATCTCATTTGTCTCACTGTTTAGCTGACAGTCTGTAACAAAAACTTTAACCTTGGTCATAATTTTTTAATGAAAAAAAGATAAGGCTTTCAAGTTTACCCGGTAAATGTGCAATTACATATGATAAGAAGATTTTGTTTGACCTCACGACCTTGAAGTTTGACCTTTTTTTTTTTTTACCTCACAACCTTGAAGTTCGACCTGACCTTGGCCGTAGCTTTTGCATCTGAGGAGTCGGGACTTTTATATTTTACCTGTGCATTGCCTTTGAGAAGACTTTTATGGATGTTCGATGATTTATGACCTTGTCCTTGAAGTTTGACATTCTTTTTCAAAAATTCTAACCTTGGCCATATTTTTTTGCACCTGATGAGATGGGGCTTTCATATATTACATGTGCATTGACTGTGACAAAATTTTTCCAAATGTACTATGACTTTTTTTACCTCATGACCTTGAAGTTTGACCTATTTTTAAAAGATGGTTACAAATGCCATTGATCATTGCACCCATACCAATAAATCCGGGAACGCAGTGGACAACAGTTCTCTGAATTTGTACTACATGTATCTGTTTATGAAACGTGAAGATGATTTTGTCAATAATATATAATTTTTTTTGATTCTTAATAAAATATGAGAAAGTCAGTAGTTGGTTTATATATTTATCTGCTTGTAGAATGTGAGCCTGGATGCATCAGATGTAGGGCCACAGAAAATGGACAGGGCAGTGTTTGTGTGGAGTGTCCTACACCAATGATGGCTTTTGACAACATCTGTGTCAGGCAATGTCCTATTGGTCACTTTAATCAGAGCTCTATATGTCAAAGTAAGTTTTCAAAAATATGAAAATTAAATTAAAACAAAAATTAATCAATTAGCATTTATTTAATTGCTGATGACAAATTTTGAACTTGAACTTGGAATTTAATTAAGAGCATTTTGATGAAACTAATGAAAGCTTAGATTAACTGTATTTTAAAATTTTGTATGATAGCATTAATATGCTATGGAGTGTTCAGTAATTCTGCATGAGAAATATTTGATTAACCATATAACTGACTCCTTACACAGAATGCAGCAGTGGTTGTGTGGAGTGTATCTCCCCCTCCCAGTGTACAAGATGTGGTCCCTCCCTCCTCTTGTCAGCAGGGGTATGTGTCCTCCATTGTCACCCTACCCAGGTCATTGATTCACTCCACAGTGTTTGCCAAGGTAATGATTTAACTAATCCTGCAGGAATGAAATTGGCTGTAACTGCATGTACAACTGACATCATGTACTGATCAAATATATCTTAAGTTTTAGTAAAACTTGCATTGAAATTTAATTTAGTATTGTCAATTGCCTTGATTTATTTTATGCTCCAAAGCATTAATTGTTAAAGTACTACTCTTGTTAACTTTTACAACTGTAATCCAAAAATTGCATTTTTTAAAACCTGCAGATTAATATAATTTATTTATTTATTTATTTTTGCAGACTGCCCTTCAAATTGTCTTAGCTGTTCTACACCTGATGAGTGCATGCAATGTGATGATGTAACATACCTTAAGATGGGAGTCTGTGTATCAGCTTGTGGCCAAGGCTTCTATCAGAATCCTGATGCAAGGCAGTGCACTGGTAAATTTTACTGACTACTTGTCATCATTTCATACACACAAATGGAGTTTGGGAGGGGGTGTAGTCTGTCTTGTAGAATTTTTGTCTGGAGATCTTCTCTAAATGTTTTTTTGGCTACTTCTAGTTTGTATTGATTTTGTTGATATATTTACTTTCAATAGCCAATCAACACAGACCTACTCTACAGATAATTGGTCAGATTCGGGTGGAACAAGGTGGAGTAGCCAGCATTACAGGTGACACATTTTCCTTGTCTGACTCGGACACTTCAAAAGATGACCTCCACTTGATAGTGACAGAACCTACTAGCATTGGGAAACTGCTTAAAGCTGTCCAAGGGAATGATGGGATATTAAATGCTGGGGGTACATTTTCATTGGCTGACCTAGAAACAGGAAAGATTCGCTTTATTCAGAATGTAGGGAATGAAAGGAAAGGTAAGTACATCATCAACAAAAACAACTTTAATTTTTCTTTCTTTCTTTTTTTTGGGGGGGGGGGGGGCATGAATTCTCCTGGAAAAATCATTTCTTTAATGGAAAAATTCACATAGTAATTTAACTTTGTTCCAGGAAAGATCAAGTTGAGAGTAACTGATGGTCAACTATACAGTGAAGAAAGAGCTTTACATATTCTGGTTATTCCAAAAAACCCACCATATTTACGGAAACATGAGTCATTGTTAGCATTTCTGGAGAATACAACCGCCATAGGACCACAACAAGTTGATATCCGGGTAGACAGCTTACAAAATTCAGTGTCCATTACAGTGTTACAAGGTAAATCAGCCTAATTCTCTCTAGAAATTATGCTGTTGAAAATTTATTTTAGTAAATATGCTGTTAAAAATTTATTTTAGTAGATCAAAAAGAAAATTGTCACTATGCTTTTTTTAGGACCCAGTCATGGACAAATTGTGAACAGAGAGCATGATGTACCTGTATCAGAAGTTACTTTGAAGGATTGGACCAATGAAAAATTAGCTTTCAAAATTGGGAAGTCCAAAGCAACCTCTGACAGAGTTCTGTTCCAGGTTTTTGATGGCTACCACTCCCTCAACTTCCTGCTGGATATTACTATAAGAAAACAGGTAAATACTGGAGAGGGTTTTTTTTATGATGCATAAAAACATTTTGGATGTGAAGTATTTTAATTCTACAAATTAATCTCTTTTAATTTATCTAAACCATATTTGTACCTAAATTAACAGGAAGATGTGCTACCATTAATCGTACAGAACAACATGGGTCATGTGATAAAAGGTCAAATGCTGCAGTTAACATCGGAGTTATTAAGTGCAAAGGTTATGGATACCGATAATGCACCATCTGATGACATTATATTTACATTATCTCCTCCGGTCAACAACCCTAAAGAAGGTATTTGTTTTATGTACATTGGACTTTTTTATTAAAAAGGGTGTGTGTGCAAGGTTTCATATCTGTTCATATTTAGTATTTGGAACAAGTATGTTCATAAAGCACATATACATGTATGCCAGAAATATGTTTCGCATTATTATTAATATGCTAACCACTTCTAAAAATTAGCATATTATTAATAATGTTTTTTTAGACATGTGATAAATTTATGTTTAACCATGGAAAGCATATACTGCTAAAAGTTAATATGCTTATCATATGCTCAGTAAAGGTTAAACGTGTATTGCGTGTTGTATATGATAAACACATGATGCAATTTTACCTGTATTACATTCTTTTTGATGAAATATGAAAATTATTAATAGGAGAGTTGAAGATGGTTGTACAGCAGCCCGAGGATGGTCCAGGGAGGGGATGGGAGGATGTGGGAGACGGTAAAATGTCCGCCAAGATGTTCCGCTTCTTACAGAGGGACATTAATGAGGGGAGGATCTGGTACAAGCACATGGGAGCCTCAAAAGATGCAGATTTCTTCACATTCGAGGTTGGAGTTGTATGCAGTATATGACATTTTCCCCAAGATGAAATCTGTATCTTATCATGAGATATATTTTTACAAGCTAAAGAAATGTTCTCTGAATTTTCAATGATAAGTAGATATAACTTTTCTGTCAGGTGTCAGACACAGCCAAACACCCCAACATCCTGAGAGATCAGGTGTTTCACATCCTGGTTACTGAGGAGGAAGTAACTACAGCTGTACCAACAGTGGCACCAGGAACTAAACTAGGAATCTCAGTAAGGAAAGTGTAAACTTAAACAGACAGTTCTTATAGGGTAAAGATAAAGGGAGTAAATAAATATAAGGGTTACTATCGGCATCCTAATTCTTTTCTTCTCCATTTTAATCAGTGGTTTAATATCATTTTACATCCTTGATTGTATATTGTCTATATTTGCCAAATTTTCATTCTGTTGTAAATTGTTCTGTTTAAAAAAAAAATATATGAATTCATAAAACTTTCACTCTGCTTAAATCATAATATGAATTCATAAAAACTTTTCCACTGTTTAAAAACAAATTCAGATTTGGATGGAGAGAGACTTTTCCATAAAGTCAGGAAATCAGGTACAAACTGACAGCACAATACTGTTGAATATAAACATGCTGAAGTTGAAATTTATCTGTAGGTACTAGAGAACCAGGTGACACCCATTAGCAGTACAAACTTAGCATACCAGGATAGGGACACAGAGGACAAAGATATCATCTATAACATTGTCAGACCTCTGGCCCAGGGGGAGGGGTCAGTGGAGTACATATCACACCCATTCACCCCCATCACTAGGTTCTCCCAGGAGGATATCAACAATAATAGGGTCCTCTATAGACCACCAGACAAAGAATTAGGGGTCGAAGAGAGGGAATTCTTTTTCATCTTTACAGGTAAAAAGCAATAATTGAATGTACAAATGTTTTGAACTATGCTGTGGGGATGTTCAGTTGATATTAGGAGTAGAAATGTATTTTCCTAGATCTTTTGAAATCTTTTAGTGTCTGATGGTACAGCAAACTACACAAAGGAGGAGCGCTTCACCATCCGAGTTATTCCAGTCAACAATGAACCCCCCAGGTTTGCTTATCAGAATGCTCCGCTACAGGTGCCTCATGGAGGGAGTGTTCCACTGGGATTGCCAGTCCTGGGGATCCTAGATCCTGATACTTCTAAGGAGGATTTAAGGTTTACTCTGACTGTAATGCCAAACCATGGACAGATGGAGAAAATTTTAAACAACAGTAAAGTCTTTCTAAGACAAGGTAAGAAAATGCAAAATTTGATGTTTCAGTGTGAAAGTACATGGATATGAGTGGTGTGAATCATGTGGGAGGAACATGCTGCGTATCTGCACAGAAACAGAGTATATATATATATATATATATATATATATATATATATATATATATATATATATATATATATCAATCATATTTAGTCTCAAATAAGTGAGATGTGTTCTTACAACAAGTGATGCAGACCCTTTGAAGTATTATTTATTATCACTACATTTTCACAGCAATGAGATCTCAGAAAATAACATGTTACTAAAATTTAAGACAATAAAACATTATATATGCATTATTTAATTGTCTGTCATTTGTTTTATTTTAATGTTTGTTTTGATTAGACATTGATATATAGAAATAATTATGTTAACTTCATTTACACAGGTGACACATTTTCATACCATGAGATCCAGACAAACTCATTCCAGTATACTCAGGACAAGTCTGACCCAGCCATGTCTGACAGACTCGAGATACAGGTCAGTGATGGTGTTCACCAGGTGACCACTCACATCAACGTATCCGTCGTCAGGGTAGACAACTCAGCTCCTGTTCTGATACCTACTGCTACCTGTAGGGTACTGGTCAAAGAGGGTAAGTCAGACAAATATTATTGTTGAAGGGAGGACAACAGTACTGTCTAGTGATTAAAGTATTTTCTATTATTATAATGATTTCTGTCGTAGATTAGAGGTAAAAAAAAAACCAAGTTCAGTGTACCTTGTGGGGCAAAAGTTTAGACAAAATGGGAAGGATTTATCTCACTCTGCCATTGATTTCAGGAGAGATGGTTGTCCTACAGAGGACAAATCTTGGCTTTATGGATGAGGAGGACAGGGATGACAGATTGAGGATAATCCTCAATTCCTACATTGCTCATGGCTCCTTCAAATATAAGGCTGCCAGGCTGTTACAGAAAGGGTCCTCATTCACACAACAGGATATCAATGATGGCTTTATCAGGTGTGTAGGACATTGCTTCTCTCTTATGATAAATAAAAAAGGGCAGTTCTTTTCAAATCTTGAAATTTCAGTATTTGACACATTATTTTTAACAGCTATACTGCAGACAAAGAGATAGGAATTCAGCCAATCACAGAAGTCCTTGTATTAAATGTGACAGATAGCAGACAGAATTTGTTACCCAGTCAAGTGTTGTCTATTGTAGTAGAACCAGTGGATAACCAACCTCCTTCTGTTATTGTTGGGGAGGATATCAAAGTAGGATATTTACAGGTCTCATTTATCCTTTGATTTAGTAAATAAAAAAAAATGTCAAGTTATTTAGTTTTAAAGTTTATTTACTTCATTTGCTGCATATCTGCTTGTTCTTTTAAGGTTCAGGAAGGGGAAATTGTGCCTCTGTCCCTGAAGAACATTAAGGTCACTGATATGGACAGTTCTGTAGGCCATCTTTCTGTCCTCATTAGAAGAGGACCTAGCTTTGGGCAAATAGTGTCCACAAAGACAGGTATTAACTGTACTTTCCTAAATATGTGGGAGGAATTCATTATCACATAATTTTGTGAGAAATTAAATCTCTAATAAAATTATTCACTGTATTTTTAATACATGATGAATTGCCACAATACATGTAAAAACTCTTGATCAACAGTCCACTTGTGAATTCTTATTTTTGTGATTCAATGTCTATGAATCATTTAATATTAAAGCGGCAGTACGGCTGCAAAACATGTGCTTTTTCATTCAAATTTACCCAATATGTCATTAAGAAATAAGGTATAAAGTTGATGTAAGCAGTTTGAGAAACAGAAATATTCTCTCGTCATACAAAATTAACGTAATTAGAATCTGCCGGAAAATCAAGGGTCGTACGAACTGGAGCAATCTTAGATATGTTTATTTGTACCACGTGAATTCTAAAACGGCACGTGCCTTCACTGTAGCGTTTACAAATTATAATGAATATGAGGTAAAAGCAATTTTCAAAAGCAAATTATCATAACTTTCTGATAAAATAATCCAAAATAATAATCGTTAGATTTTAGTCTGTTTTCAGACGAATTTAACAGAATTAAAAGTACAAATGTTGACGTTTTGTGTATTGGGGTCCGAGAAAGGAAAAACCACCAAATCATACGTTATCGCGGCAAATGTCAAACAAAATATTTTTCTGCACAGTTAAAAAAATTAGCATTTCAAATGGTAACAATGTTTATAAGTCATAGGTGTATTTTTATGTTGAGTTTACAGTAATTTTTTTTCTTTGAAAGCGATGGAAAAATGAGAAATGAAAACAACTATCAACAAACCTGTCGAGTAGAACCTTCGCGAGCCCTGCGTGAGTTGCCGAGTTCCCGTTTCTTCCTCATTCAACAATTATATTAATCCTCAAACTAAATTTTAGTCAGGAAAGTTGCTTTTTCAAGCTTTATTTTCAGTTTCTTTTTGGTCGACTTTATCAATGTAGTAGGCTCTTAGGGCTTCCTTCTCTTACCATGCTGTTTTGTTTATGAAAACTACGCATGCGTGCATAGCATGGAATGTGGAACCCCGAACACGTTGCGATGTATATATTTACGTCCCATAAATAATTATTAATTCTAATGAAATAATCAAAATTATTTCATTGTGAAAGTTGTAATTTTCTGAAAGTTTATATATTTATGAGTTGCAAAAAAATTCCAAATCTCGTCGGAAAATTTTATCAAGTCAGTTTTTTGATGAGATGCGCCGTACTGTCACTCTAAGTATTAACGTAAAATTAAGATTGTACAGAATCAAAATGTTGGCTGCACCTTAATACGACAATACTGTATAGCTAGATGTTTTCCAATCATCTAATTTTTACTATTTTTGCAAACCCTTTGTGAATGCAAAAAATTAAAGCACAAAAATAATAAAAACAAAACACATTTCCGGATGAGTGACCAGGTTAAGGTTTTTGGAGCAGATCTCATTTCCAAGTAACTATAAGCCCTATATTGACCAAACTTGCATGGATGATACATCTAAGGATGTACACTACTGGACTTGCTTCAGATGCTGGATCTGACCTACATTTTCCAGATGAGTAATCAGATTAAAGTTTTTGGAGCAGATCTCATTTCCAAGTATTAACTATAAGGCCTATCTGAATGTGTACTGTATTTAAGATGTTTAGTAAAACGTGCACATATTTACTGCACTTTTTTCCAGAAGTTTCCTCGGAAATTGAAAAGGGACCTGCCACTGTGGCTTCTTTCTCCATCCAGGACCTTGTTGAGGAGCACATTTACTATGAACAAAGTGACCACAGGAACAAGGAAGCTGTTTGGGATGGCTTCCTGTTTACTGTAACCGATGGAAACAATACCACACCAGTTTACAGACTCAATATTTCGATCATGGTGAGCTGTATTTCACAAACATATCTTGTCTTCTTTAAGAATGTCAAAAGGACCTGACATCCCTTTCAAAGGGAAATACTTTTTTTCTAGCACTGTTCAACATAAGAATTTCAATTAAGAAAAAAGAGTGAGAATATCTAATGCACTTTAATGTCATAGACATATTAGCGATCTCGCTTTATTTCACTGACATGATAAAAAGCACTACTGTAAAACACATTTATAGCGAACACGCTTATATAATACATGCTTACAGCCAAGTGATATTTCAATCCTCGTAGTTTTAAAACGTTTTGAAATCTTAACAGTTATAACGAATTATGTTTATAACGAATCAAAATTGCACGTCCATGGCATTTTGCTATAAGCGTGTTTTACTGTATGATGTAACTGTTTGTAAGTGTTATTTCATCTCCTCTTTGATTTAGTGAGTTAATAAAACAGTACAAATAAAATATAAAAACAATTTTATCTTTAAAAATATCTTCCTTTTTTGTAGTTGATTAATGATGAACAACCATCCTTGATCACTGAGCAGCTCTTTGTCAAGGAAGATAACTATGTAATATTGAGCAATGCTTCCCTATACATCACAGATTTAGATACTCCTCCCAGAGATCTCGTTATCACTGTCACCTCAGCACCAACGCAAGGTGAGATTAAAAATGGTCACAGAGAAAAGTACTTCTATACATTTATTAGGGCCCCGCAAAGATTTGCGGGTGCCCTATAGTAATCACTCTGTCTGTCTGTCTGTCCGTCTGTCTGTCTGTCTGTCTGTCCGTCTGTCATTCTTCCGTCCACAAATTTTCTGTTTTTTTCTAATAACTTTTTTTAGGGTTGACCAATTAAGTTCAAATTTGGTATATTGGTTGAATAGGCAGTAAGACATATTTTGATGCCAAGTTTGGTTCTCTATGTCATCCGGTTTGGAGCTGGGGTGGTGGGGTATATTCCTTAATTTTATATAAGAGTGAATGGGCAAAGAGAGATAACTGCTGAGAAAGTTCCTATTGTAAACTATGAAAGGCTGCAATGAGTCTCTTGGGATTAATTAACTTTCCTCTTGAAGAAAGTCCAAAGCATTTATCTTTATCTGCCACATTGAGATTAATTAACACCTCTGTCTGCAAATGAAGTTTGTTTTGAAGTTAAGGTCAATTCTGAATGATGTTTACATTCTCTGTAATGTGGATTTAAATAATGTTCATACTTTATTTTGGTAAAATACACAATGAGTTATGATTTTATTGAATTCTAAAAACAAGATATAGATAAAGATATCATTTTTATTATTTTTTTCTTTTTTCTTTTTTTTTCTTTTTTTCTGCCTTATGTAAATTCAAGAGTACTTATTAACAGGTATTCAGATAATAACCTCATTCTATCATTGCTGAAAAAGTTCTTATTGTAAACTTAGAAGAAAAGGTTGAGAGAGCAGTATAATTAATCCCGTGGGTTTGATTATCTTGCTGGTTTGCAGAATATTTTAGAGGGTTATCTTTCTGTCACTTTAAGATTAATTAACACCTTCGTCTGCAACTGATATTTGTTTTGGAGTTAAGGTCAAGCCTTGGGGATATTTGCATTCACTGAAGGCTGGCATTTTAGAAAACACATGCTTCATTCATTTTTAAATATACATTTAATTGAGTTATTACAGATATGATGTTTTTTACTGCCTGATGTAAATACAAGGATACTATTTACAGAGTGTTGGATATTTAGCAGTTGCTGTTGCTTATTCTTTATATATTTTGAAATTTTTTGTAATCAAGTAAAATTCTCATCCCCTAATCTGCACCCTTATATTACTAACCCTCGGCGGGGCCCTTGCTGACTGGTCAGATTTCTAGTTACTTTACATCTCTAGTCAATTGAATTTGAGTTCTTGACTGGTAAATGACTGAAATATTTCTCTTTCAGGAACATTTGGATTGAAAACAAATGCAGGACATCCATATCCAGTAATAAAAGAGCTCTCAAAAGGATACAGATTTACATATCAGGTACAAGCATAGCATTTGTTGTTATTTGATTGTTATTTCATTGACATAGTATATTGTCATATTTCCTAGAATTCTGCTGATATTTGATGTGTTTTCAGAATGTCCTGGATGATCTTATGGTGTATAGACACACAGGAGGTAACATAAAGAGTGACTCCCTAGGCCTCTCCGTGTCTGATGGTGACTTCCAGGTCGAGGGAACCCTCCCTATAGTGATAGGAATAGTCAATGATGAGACGCCTCGGGTGTCAGTTAACAGAGGACTCCGGGTCAATACAGGTAAGGATAGAATCTGGTTTGAATGTATCTGTTTGTTAGACGTTTAAATAATAGACATTGGAGACATAGTCAGGTTCATGTACATTTTGGCTGCTCCTTTGTGCATGAGAACATATAAATTCATTCTGAAGACTTGTATTTCTCCTTTTCTTTTTAGCTCACCTGAGCCAAAGGCTCAAGTGAGCTTTTCTGATCAAAATTTGTCCGTTGTCTGTCGTTGTTGTCGTTGTTGTTGTAAACTTTTCACATTTTCATCTTCTTCTCAAGAACCACTGGGCCATATTCAACCAAACTTGCCACAAAGCATCCTTGGGTAAAGGGGATTCAAGTTTGTTCAAATGAAGGGCCACACCCTCTTTCAAGAGGAGATAATTAGGAATTAGTGAAAAAATAATGGCATCATTTAAAAATCTTCTTCTCAAGAACCACTGGGCCAGGAAAGATGAAACTTATGTGGAAACATCCTCAGGTAGTGTAGATTCAAGTTTGTTCAATTCATGACCCCTAGGGGTAGGGTGGGGCCACAATGGGGGATCCAAGTTTTACATAGAAATAGAGGAAAATATCTTTAAAAATCTTCTTTTTAAGAACAGCAAAGCCATGATTGGTCATATTTTTATGGAAGCATCCTCAGGTAGTGTAGATTCAAGTTTGTTCAAATCATGACCCCCGGGAGTAGGGTGGGGCCACAATGGGGGATCCAAGTTTTACATAGAAATATATAGGAAAATATCTTTAAAAATCTTCTTCTTAAGAAGAGTAAAGCCAAGATTGGTCATATTTACATGGAAGCATCCTCAGGTAGTGTAGATTCAAGTTTGTGCAAATCATGACCCCCGGGGGTAAGGTGTGGCCACAATGGGGGATCCAAGTTTTACATAGAAATATATAAGAAAATATATTTAAAAATCTTCTTCTTAAGAACAGCAAAGCCATGATTGGTCATATTTATATGGAAGCATCCTCAGGTAGTGAAGATTCAAGTTTGTTCAAATCATGACCCCCGGGGGTAGGGTGGGGCCACAATGGGGGATCAAAGTTTTACATAGAAATATATAGGAAAATATCTCTAAAAATCTTCTTCTTAAAAACAGTAAAGCCATGATTGGTCATATTTATATGGAAGCATCCTCAGGTAGTGAAGATTCAAATTGTTCAAATCATAACCCCCGGGGGTAGGGTGGGGCCACAATGAGGGATCAAAGTTTTACATAGAAATATATAGGAAAATATCTCTAAAATCTTCTTCTTAAAAACAGTAAAGCCATGATTGGTCATATTTATATGGAAGCATTCTCAGGTAGTGAAGATTCAAATTTGTTCAAATCATAACCCCCGGGGGTAGGGTGGGGCCACAATTGGGGATCAAAGTTTTACATAGAAATATATAGGAAAATATCGTTAAAAATCTTCTTCTTAAAAACAGTAAAGCTATGATTGGTCATATTTATATGGAAGCATCCTCAGATAGTGAAGATTCAAGTTTGTTCAAATCATTACCCCAGGGATAGGTTGGGGCCACAATGGGTGATCAAAGTTTACAGAGGAATATATAAGAAAAAGTCTTTTTCTCAAGAACAGAAAAGCCATGATTTGTCAAATTGATATGGAGGCATCTTTGGGTAGTGTAGAATGAAATTTGTTCAAATGAGGGCCCCCGGGGGTAGGGTGGGGCCACAATGGGGGATCAAATTTTTACAAATGAATATATGGGAAAAAAATCTGCTGCTCAAGAACAACAAAGCCATTTGTTATATTGATATGAAAGCATCATCAGGTAGTTTAAAATTCAACACCCCCCTCCCTGTAAACTTTTCAATACTGTACTGATTTTTGCCTTTTTTTCCTAGCCAATTTGCTCAGGTGAGCGATGTGGCCCATGGGCCTCTTGTTTATCTTGTAGGATCAATGACCTTTATAAAATCTAAGGACCTTCAGTCGACAGACATTGATTCTGAGGACTCCATGTTACTGTACACCATCACCCAGGACACTCCAGCAGGCCATCTACAGTATGTAAAGGGAGGTAACTCAGCACTGATCTCCTCCAAAGGAAAAATCCGTACATTCTTACAGTCGGACATCAATAGTGGCTATATACAGTTTGTCCATCAAGCAGGGGAGATGACTGGGGTTGTATTATTCAAATTTGATGTAGAAGACAGTGAAGGCAACAAACTGATTGATCAAGATTTCTTCATAACTATCATAGGTATGGTATCAAACGAAATTTTTCCATGAAATATTTCTGAAAATGCTTCCGTTTTCTTTTGAATGTGTACCTGCATTTGATGTGGTTTGATTTCATAAAGAGGACAGACATCCTCCCCAAGCTATTGCCAACAGAGAGTTGATAGTGAAGGAGGGCTCCAGTGCTAGACTAACCTCTCATTTCCTCTCATACACTGATGTGGACTCGGAGCCAGCCTCCCTTCAGTACTTCCTGGTCTCTGCACCCAAACTGGGTCATCTGGAACTCACAGGAAATCCAGGTATGAACATTAGTTAGGGAGTTTTCTTTATGTTGGCTTTACAAAGTTAAAAATTTGATTTATTTTATTGTATGGCATTAGGCAGTGGTTGAGATCGAAATTTAAATTGTTGGAAATTAGCATATAATACTTTATGAATAGGATAGAAAAAATGTTAGTCCAATAAATTAAAATACTATTGTATGATAAGAATTAAATGTAGATGGCTGTTGTTGAGCAAGCTTTTAAGAAAGCTGTTACTGCTGATATGAATCATGACAGCACAGCAGAATTATTACAGTAATTAATCCATAAGTGGTATGAAATGTATAGAAAGTTGATTACTGTATAAGGTGACCTTACATTCTCCACAGGAATACCTGTGTCAGAGTTTACCCAGTCAGACCTGGCAGCTAACAGTGTAGTGTATTACCACACCAGCTCAACAGAAGATTACATGGATGCCTTTACATACACTGTCACAGATGGCACTAATGAGGTAAGCTTGGTCTGTGACTTAAATGGAATTTTTCTCTTGGGAGACCAGTATTGAATTTAGACAGAACATGTCTTATTTTACAGGTGACCCATAAATTCACAATAACTGTGGTGCCAGTGGATGATGAGATCCCCCTGGTTATAAATAATGGATTAACAGTTCAGGAGGGGGTGAGGAAAGTTATCACTGAGTTTGAGCTGAAGGCAGTGGATCAAGATACTGAGGTAAAAAGTCATAGAAAGGAGCTAATCTGAAATACAGGTACTTACAGTGAGGGAAAAAAGCAAATACCAGTAAAGGTTAAAGAGAATTGAATTATAGTTCACAGAGGGGTGGGAGCAATATTGACACTCTGTATGCATGTATTTTATTAAGAATCCTGCAATATGGTGCTGTATTTTAATCAATGTGATCACTTGTTTGTCTGTTCACACTTTATGATGCAATGAATTTCAGTTCTATGGACTTCAAATTGACTATAAAGTTGAAGAAAGATTAGAGGAAGATTCCTGTAAATTTTAGTGTCACTTGGCCAAGTTCAAAGTTTTGAAGTCAATTTGTCAAAATTAATTGTCCATGAACACTTTTCTGACACATCTTGCATATAAATCAGCTTACAGACTATGTATTACTATTAGCTTCATAAGTAGAAGGTAGAAGAGAGAGTCAGCTTTAGATTTTGAGATCATTTAGTCAAAGGTCAAGATCAAAGTTAAAACAACTCATTATTATGACAAAAATATACACATAATGCAGGAATGTGTAAAACTTTGTCAGTATTTTAGTGAAGATAATTCACATTACACATTTGAGTCCTTATTTGGTTACAGGAGAAACATTTACAATTCTCTGTTGTAAATCCTCCACACCATGGCATCCTCCAGGCATCGGACGGTACTGTGTATCATACTATCTCCTCCTTTACTATGGCTGACATCTACGACAACAGAGTGAGTTATCTACACGATGGCAGTGAGACTCAGGCAGACAGCTTCTCCTTCACTGTCACTGACGGCACCACCAAAATGTTCTCCATGCAGAGGGATGGACGACGAGGAGACATCAGCGTTCCCTCCCCAAACCCACAGGTGAATTAAATATTAGCTTAGCTTAAATATTTCCTCCCCAAACCCACAGATAAATATTTACTTAGTTCAAATATTCCCTCCCCAAACCACAGGTGAATACTTGCATACTGTAAATCACCAAATTTTTGGAACACATTATTTATACCCCCCGCAAACGAAGTTTAGGGGGGGTATATTGGAATCAGCTTGTCTGTCTGTCTGTAGACGAGATTTTGTCCAGACCATTTCTTGGAAACTGTTGCAAGGATTTGTCTGAAAATTTGTACACTTATTATTCGCCATATGAAGGTGTGCACCTGATATTTTCATCATGATTGGATAATATTTTTGCATTTTACAGGTGTTTTTTCATTTTTATTATGTGGTTTTGTCCGGATCTGTTCCCAGAGACTATTGCGTAGATTTGTATGAAAATTTGTACACTTATTATTTACCATATGAAGATGTCCACCTGGTATTTTCAACATTATTTGATAATTTTTCTGCATTTTACAGTTTTTTTTTTTCATTTTTATTGACATTTTGGGTTCATGTCTAAGGTTTGAGACATAGAATCTAGAACATACGAGGGGTGATCAAAAAGTTCGCGAACTAACTCTATATCTATCTATCCATAGTTCAGAGCAGAATGAATTTTGGCACACATATAGTCCTAAACATGTGCTTGATGTAGCATGAGTTATCTTGTAATTTGCATCATATTTATGACGTCATGATGTAAAAATGACGTCAATATAGAGGCGACTGTGACAAAAATGGATGAGTCAGTCATACTTGAGCAGAGAACAAATATAAAGTTTTACGTAAAACTCGGAAAATCCTTCACGGAAATTTACAATGATTTACAAAAAGTATATGGGGATAGTGGGCTTGCAAAAAGTTCAATAAGTAAGTGGATGAAACGTTTTATTGAGGGAAGGGACTCTGTGAAAGATGATGATCGATCTGGGTGCCCACTGAACGTTAGTACAGAGACAAATGTATCTCAGGTTGAACAGTTTGTGATGAAAGATAGAAGAGTTACTATTAGAGAAATAGCTGATGATCTTAGCATGTCTTATGGAACTGTTCAGGAGATTTTAACGAGTAAGCTTAAAATGCGGCGAGTTTGTGCAAGGTGGGTTCCTCGCCTCCTGCTGCCAGAACAAATGAAGATGCGGGTAAATGTTTGCAAGTCATACGTCAGTAGATATGCAAAAGAAGGAAATTTTTTCATGAATAGAATTATAACGTGTGATGAAACATGGGTACATTTCTATGAACCAGAAAGTAAACAACAAAGTTCAATTTGGAAGCATTCTTCCTCTCCATCACCATTGAAAGCACGTGTAACGAAGTCTGCAGGGAAGGTTATGCTCATTGTTTTCTGTGACATCAACGGAATTATTCTAAATCACATGGTACTACCTAAAACTTCAGTTACTGGAGATTACTATGCGCGGGTTATCAAATCAGATTTGATGAGAGCAGTAAAGAGAAAGCGCCCTGATCTGATACGAGCTGGATTCATTTTGCACCAGGATAACGCGCCTAGCCATAAAAGTCGGGTTGTGATGGACACCATGGAAACACTGGGTATAGAAAACCTAACTCACCCCCCTTACAGCCCAGATTTGGCAATTTGTGACTTCTGGCTATTTCCAGTTTTGAAGGATAACCTACGGGGAGAGAAATATGAGTCCCGAGAAGATCTTGGTACTGCTGTGAACAAGGCGCTAAGAAGCATGTCACGTGATGGCTTGGATGATGTGTTTCGGGCATGGGCAGACCAATGGCAAAAGTGCATAAAAGCAAGAGGGGCCTACTTTGAAAAAGAGTAAACTCAAAATCCCACTTTGAATAATATTATGTAAGTTATCCAATTAGTTCGCAAACTTTTTGATCACCACTCGTATGTACAAAAATGTGAACTACAGCTTAAAACAACTCATTAGAACTAAAAAAAAAAATCACAAAGTATTAAAACTGTTTTTACATTACATAGCAGATAGTGTAAATCCATTTGTCCCTTGGGAGTAATGAGTGGACATGCATCCAGTTAAAGATTAATTAATGAGTTCAGTGTGGGAAGCTGTTAGGGCATCTGTGATCAAGCAGGTCTTATCTATATCTCCTGGGAATTGGGCAGAAAGAAATAAAGATCTTTGTTGTCTAAGTCTCTTAATTGTAATTTATGTCTGTCAAAATACATAGTTACTGGAACCAGCCTTTTATTTTTAAAATGAGTTTGATATAAAGGTATTAAGATCAATTTGATTTTGTATAATTAATTATGATAATTTTTTTTTCAACAATCAATTTGCAGAGTGTCATGTCTCACAAAGATGACAGATAGTTGCAAACTATTTTTTCAATGTAATAAAAAACACTGTAATTATTAGTATTGATGTTTTATTAGGCTGCACCTTAGTTTCATTCATTAAAAAAAATATAATGAGTATTAAATTAAATTTTCACTCTAAATTTTTAAGCAAATTGTGAACACCTCTCACATCTAGAAAACATTAGTGATTTGGTACTTTCTCTGAAAAACCCAGCGGGGGGTATTTGTCCCTTTTGGACAGTTCTAGTTTCATGAGATATTAATATTGTATTTATAAATGAGTTAAAATTTATGTGAATTCTTTTTATTGTTCTATATGATCTTTAATAATACTATTATATGCAAGAAAGAAATTTTCACGAGCAGACAGTATTGTGTATTTATGGAAAAATAAAGTTCTCATGAATTAAAGGTGATTTACAGTTGTTCAGACATTCCCTTACAAATCCCACAGGCATGTGAATAGTTACTAGCTTCAGTTTTATTAGCAAAGTTTATAGAAAGTCACAAGTATAAATAACTCCCTAAAAATTCACCTGAAATGAGATTAAAGGTGCAAATCAATCTTTGTTTTCAGTATATTTGCAAGTAACTTTTTGAAATTTGGTTTTTCAAATATGCATGGAATTTCTAATTGAAATGATGCATATATCAAAGAGTTAAGAAGGGTGAATAATTATTTTTTTCTTTTGCAGGATTTTAACATAGAGGTCCTACCTCTAGATGATGGTATGCCAGTCCTTCACACAAATCTAGGTTTACAGTTCTTGGAAAATTCTAATGGACAAGTATGTTACCATTTCTTATACTTTATTCACCTCAGCTTAAAGCTCAGGTTACTCCTTGTCTGACACCATCTTTCCACTTGTATGTCAATTTGTCTGTAAACTTTTCACACTT